TTTATACAACATCTATGTCCAACCATATCATATATACCATCTATGTCAAACCACATTCTAAGTGCCATTTATGTCAAACCATATTTCATATACCAATTATGTCAAAACATATGCTATATATCAAAGCATATTCTATATACCTTATATATCAAAGCATATTCTATATACCAATTATATAAAACCATATGCTATATACCATCTTTGTCAAACCATATTATATTTACCATCTATGTCAAACCATATTCCATATACTAACTATGTCATACCATATGCTATATATCAAAGCATATTCTATATTCCTTATATATCAAAGCATATTCATGTCAAACCATATGACATGTTATACATGTCAAACCATATGCTATATACCATCTATGTCAAACCAAATTCTATGTGCCATCAATGTCAAACCATATTCTATGTGCCATCTATGTCAAACCATATTCTATGTGTCATCTATGTCAAACCATATTCTATGTGCCATCTTTGTCAAACCATATTTCATATACCAACTATGTCAAAACATATGCTAAATATCAAAGCATATTCTATATACCTTATATATCAAAGCATACTCTATATACCAATTATATCAAATCATATGCTATATATCAAAGCATATGCTATATATCAAATCATATGCTATATACCAATTATATCAAACCATATGCTATATATCAAAGCATATTATATATACCTCATATATCAAAGCATATTCTATATACCAATTATATCAAACCATATGCTATATATCAAAGCATATTATATATACCTTATATATCAAAGCATATTCTATATACCAATTATATCAAACCATATGATATATACCATCTATGTCAAACCAAATTTTATATACCATCTATGTCAAACCATATTCTACATGCAATCTATTTCAAACTATATGACATATATTATACATGTCAAACCACATTCTATATACCATCTATGTCAAACCATATTCTATGTGCCATCCATGTCAAACCATATTCTATGTGCCATCTATGTCAAACTATATTCCATATACTAACTATGTCTAACCATATGCTATATATCAAAGCATATTATATGTACTTTATATGTCAAAGCATATTCTATATACCAATTATATGAAACCATATGCTTTATACCATCTATGTCAAACCACCTTCTATATGCCATCTATGTCAAACCATATTCTATGTGCCATCTGTGTCAAACCATATTACATATATCATCTATGTCAAACCATATGCTATATACCATCTATGTCAAACCATATTCTATATACGATTTATGTCAAACCATATTCTATATACCATTTATGTCAAACCACATGCTATATACCATATGTGTCAAACCACATTCTATATACCATATATGTTAAAACACATGCTATGTGCCATCTATGTCAAAC